TATGTGAGTTTGCTGTTCAGCATTCAACACAATCATTCCTCAGCAGCTGACAGGAAAGCTGAGACTACTGGGCCTGAACACCTCCCTCTGCAACTGGATCCTGTACTTCCTGACTGGGAGACCTGAGTCAGTCAGGATCAGCAGAAACATCTCCAGTATCACCGAGCTGAGCACAGGGGCCCCCTCAGGGCTGTGTGCTCAGCCCTCTGCTGTTCACGCTGTTGATCCTCAACTGTGCAGTAACGCACAGCTCAAACCACATCATCAAGTTTGCTGATCACACGACTTTGGTGGGTATGATCAGTGAGAATGAGGAGGTAGCATAAAGGGTGGAGGTATAACGTCTAATAGACTGATGTGGAACCAACAACCTCTCTCTGAATGTGGAGAAGACAAAGGAGATGGATGTTGACTTTAGGAGGGCACGCTGTGACCACTCTCCACTGAATATAAATGGATCCTCAGAGGAGATCGTCTAGAGCACCAAGTTCCTTGGCATCCACATTGAGGAAAACCTCACATGGACCCTCAACACCATCACCAAGAAAGCCCAGTAGCATTTTGACTTCCTGCAGAGTCTATGTGTACCATCCCAATGGGAAAGGGTGTGGTTATGATGTGCCCTTCTATTGCTGCATATGTGATGCACTCCAAGATTCTGGATGTTCCTTACAGCTCATTTTATGAATATTGATACTTCATTCATCCCCATGAGGAAATGATCTTCTCACCTCTCCCATCTTGCTCTCCATGAAACTCACAGACACATACACAGCTGAGAGAAGGTTTGGGGGTAACAGCAAAGGGTTGGCCAGTATTCAGCGCCTCTGCAGTTACTGGCATTAAGGGACTTGCTCAAGGGGTCCAGTGATGACATCACTCTGCTGGCCAGGAGACCTGAACCAATGGCCTTCTACTCACGGGCACCGAGTCCGAACCTGAAGAGTCACGAACCACACCCAGTATTTCCAGAAATGCTTCCTCCAGTGTCCAGAACTGTGAGTGGTTTGCCCAGTATTAAGACAAACTGGAACATTCTGTGAAATTCTGGCTTTTTCACACAAAGGATGGTTATGGATAATCTGTCATTTTATTTTACTACATCACTAACTTCAGCCAATATCCATCCATCCATTTTCTGTAACCACTTATCCTGTTCAGGGTCACGGGGGTCCGGAGCTGATCCCCAAGACAGGAAACAACGCAAGACGAGGTGCCAACCCATCACAGGGCACAATCACACACCATTCACACGACCACACACACCTACGGGGAATGTGAACTTCAGCCAATACAAAACCAGAATTCCGAAAAAATCCAGCTTAGTTAATAATATGAGGGGGAAATAAAATATATCTTTATACAGTTTCACTATATATTTAAAGCAGTGTATCTCTATTACTATACAAGACTAGATGTGTTGTCACATCCTTGATACCTGGAGCCAGAAGCCGCTGAGGCCAGCAGAGGACGCTAGTGAGCAGCCAGAGACAGCAGTCTTCTGGAAGCTCCAAGCTTTGGGATTCATCATATGGACACACCTGTTGGCAATAACACTCACATAGCATTTCTGTTAGGGGTGTGCAAAGCAGCCGGTATTTGTATCTGTACAGTATTTGTATTTGTTGAGGGGGGAAAAGTATTTGTATTTGTATTCGTATTCGAGTAAAATTCAAAATAGGCGTAAAAATCCAGTTTTTTTGCGTTGCACTTCTAATTTAC